ACCCTCCTCTCCTCAGCCATCCCTGAATGTTTTCAGTGTCGGTTGTAGTGCTGGCCTCCCAACCCCAAACTGTCCCCTGCCCGCGCTGTGGGGGCCGTGCTGTGGCACTGCTGCATCCAGGAGCTCTGGGCACGTCCCCACTGCCCTGTGGCCCCTGCAGGAGCCTTGGACATGGCTTTCCAGCACCCCCGAGAGCTGCTGGTGCCACAGGTCCTTCAGTGCCACTGGAGGACTTCCCCTGAAGTGCCTTCCCCTGCTTGTTATTTCAACGATGATTTCTTGGGGAGGGATCCAACTGCATGGGAGTGATGGCTGCAGGGAAGGGAAGGGTTTCACAGGCTCCTTAAGGCAGGTCAGTAATTACCAGGCAGCCACGACCTCTCTATTTGCCGCTCTGTGGCTACACCAGCAAAGGTCAGAGTGTCCAGGCAGCTTGGTTGTGCACCCTCCTGGTGGTGTTTTTATCCAAGTTACTAATTACACATTACCTGTATGTCAGCAGGCTGATCGATAGGAGTCTGAGGGATCAATGTGGATGTGGATGACGGTGCTGTTTGCCATTCAGAGCCTGCACACGCTGGGAAGAACAGGGCACCATCGATCCCAACACTGGGCTGACATGCAGGGCAGGATGGAAGGCACAGGGAGGGGGGAGGACCGCTCTGCCTTCCTAAATGACAGTGGCACAGCCACTGGGACAGTGTCCTGGCCAGGGATCTGCCATGGCTGTGCCCTCAGCATGTACCTGCATCCCAAGGCTGGGGCAAACCTCCCACCCTGCAGCTCTGCCTTAGGAATGGCACGAGCCACTTTCATCTAGGTTGCTTGTCCTCCCAAGGACTTGGTACATTTAAAAGGTTCACACTGATCTGAAAATGGACATTTCTCCCTCTTTATGTGTTCTTGCTGGGTGATCAGTGCCTGAAGCAATCACAGGCTACTTCAAAAATCACAAAGTCTCCTGCATTTTGCTTTGCTGCTTAACTGACCGAAAACTGAGGCCACCTCTGCAGAGCCATCATGTTGCTGCCAGCAAGAGAGGTCTTGGCTGCAGAATGCAATCAAATTTTGCAGGAAGAAGCTCTTGGGACTACCATGAAATTTGGGATTACGGCGTGGCTAAATGAGGGAATTGCATAACTGGGGCTTTCTGCCTGTCTTGCTGGAGTTTTGTGACTGTTCTGATTCTGTCCTAGCGATGCTGGGGAATTGCTCTTTGAAACCAAAAGAGCCCTAGAAAGGCACAGGCAGGTCAGGATCATTTGCCCCCAGCGCTGGGTTTGTCATGAGCAGCAAATTGATGGTGGTAGGATCAGACAGAGAGCAGTGTGGGGTGAAAGCAAAACTCTCCCCAAAGGCCTCCTCACGCTTGACTGTGCCTGTGCCCTCAACAAGGTGCAAAGCTCTGCAGCCTTCCCCTGTCAGGCCACTTCCCAGGCACTCCTTGGAGCCCAGGGAATGGATCAGCAGCCATGGGGCAGCCGAGGTGTTGGATCAGCCACCCCTGGCCAGCAAAGCAAGAGCCCTTTGCCTGAAAAGTGTGTGGTGAAAAGCTTTGAAAAAGCAACACAATCCTTTGTGTTTATTGAGGTTTTTAGGGTAACAAAAGGAGCTGTGGAGGGAGGCTGCTAGTCCTGCCTTTCCTAAGCAGCAGATGGAATCGACTCCAGTGCTAGAACAGTCACCAGCAGCTTAATCCTACAGAAGACCCATAATCCTTCCCTTAGTCCCACCAGCCCCAAAAGCAGAAAGCTGCCCAGATTTGCTGTTTGGTGGGGTTTACTCAGCCTCAGTTACAGTCTCAGTTGTCACAGTAGCGAGCCTCACTCCCTTGGAAAGGCCATTCCCATGGGAGTGCAGATGCTCCTGGGGCAGGGAGCAGACACAATCCATGCTGGAAATCCAGCAGAGGCTGCTCTGGCTCCCAGCAGCCCCAGCCTTCAGGACACTCCTCTAACCCAACGACGCTGCTGGGGCTGTGTGGGCTGTGACAGCTCAGAGCAGAGCCCTGGGGCTCCCCGGGGCATCACTGACAGGTCCCGTGGGTGAAGCCAATGCCTGAGACACCGAGATGGCCCCATATTCCTTCCAGCCACTGGAAGGAGCAGTCACTCCAAATCTGGTCTAAGAGCTTTGCAAAGATGAGCTGGAATGTCCAGCTATGAACCACAGGCCCTTGGCCAGCACCTGGAAGGCACCAGAGAGGTTGTACAGGCACAGCCAGCCCTGGAGAACATCCCCTACCCTTCCCATACAGCCCCATACGGCAGGAGACATTTCTCCCTGGAATTAACTCCTATTTTTAAAATCCCAGCAAAGAGGCTTTTGCTGAAGAACGACTGGCAGGATTTCAGCTCTGCCCCCATTTGCCCTCCCTGGGCTTGGCCCCAGGAGCCTTCTCCATCAGCTGCAGTTGGGGACTGGGGCAGCCCACTGACCCACACAGAGATGGGCCAGCTTGGCTGCCCCAACCTCTTTAGAGGGGCTGCTCTGCAGGTTTGGGAGGAAGGATCCTCCCAGAAATTTAATTTTCAGTGAGCTGGCACCACAAATGGGGAGTGAGCCCCATCTCTAATCTCTCGGGAGCAGCTTTGACTTTGTGAGAGCTGAGCAAATGTTCTTTTTCCTTCCCCCTCTCCCTGTTGCTCCTTTACTCTTTCATTAGGGCTCTTCCTCTTGCCGTTTGTGTGGAGATGCTGGTTTGTTTATTTTCTGTGGTGTGGATGCCAGGCATCAGGAATCATGTGCTCAACTTATGGTGGCAATTAGCCCAGCCCTGAACCCTGATGGCATGTCTGCATCTGCAATTAGTGCTCTGCTCTGCTCTATCTGCGTGAGCTTTTTATCTTCCTTCCTTCGGGGGCTGGAAAAGGCACAACTTGGATCTCTCAAAAAATTGCAGGAAAGTGTTAAAGCTGGAGCTTGACTGCCCTTGCTGTGGGGCTGCTCTCAGGATTGATTCCTGTTCGGTTCAGGAATCAATCCTTGGCCTCTGCACCTGGATTTATGCGAGTGCAGCTCAGGGCATCTGTCTGAGACAGTGCAGAGCCTGTGGGGACTGACTCTGGCTCTGCTGGTGCCTCTGCTCATGCACTTTATGGCCTGTTTCGTGCTCCTGGCTGAATGCACCTGGCTCTTTATTAGGACATCAGATTGCCCGAGTCAATGTTTTATAGTATTAAGCTTATTTAAACGTGTGTCTTTGGTGCTCTGCAAAATACCTCACGTTGGATTTGGGGGATGGGAAAACGGGAGCAAAATTTGGATTTTGAGGCAGGGGGAGGAAATGTCAGGGCAGGCAGAGGGAAGGTGCCTGTAGGACCTCTACCAAACCTCATGGGCTTGCTCTGCTTTCCTTTTCTCCCATATAAATTCACCTGTCCTAAAATCCCTGGTTTTCTCTGAGATAATGTGATTTTTGGGGAGGAGTTTCTCTCCCTGTCACCTGCCACTGATTTCCACTGAAGAGCTTCCTCCTGGGGAAGGGGGGTAGAAACCAGGGAGAGAAATTATGGAGGGGCAGCATTTCTGAATCCAAATACATTAAACCATTTAATTCTGTTGACTCAGGGCTGCCTGGCTCTGAATGGGAATTAATCCACAGTGCACAAAATTAAAAAGCACATGACAAAATGCTTAGCAAGGCACTGGCAGGGTTTAAAGCAGCCCATTAGCTTGCTCGAACGTACCCAGTAAATTTTCATTTGTCAATAACGCTTAGAGCCTACAGTTTATTTACAGCCTGTTCAATATTACCAGCACCCCTCGGAGCGCCTCATCTGTATTTATCTGCCACAGCTACTTCCCTTTCCAGGGACTCTTCCTAATCCCTTGCTCTGTATCTGCTTGTCTTGTTGCAGAGCCAGATGCAGCAGAAACGTGCCCCCCCCCCCACCCCCACCCCAGGCAAAGGTGATGTGGGGTTATCCCTTTCCATCCCAATTATCCCCTGCATGGGAGACCACCCTGGGCCACCTCCCAGTGACCCACCCCAGCCCTGGGATGGGGATGGGACCTGCTGTTATGAGGCTCCATCAGTGTCCAACACCCAGCCACCAGCCAGCACAGAGGGGTGATGGGAATCCCCAAATTGGGAGATGGGGATAGGCACAAGCAGCTGCCTCTATGGACCCACAGGCTGGCTGAGCTGGAGCAGCCACGGCTCCTCCATCTGTCCCAAATCAGCTCCCGTGGGATGAGCCCTGGTGAGGAGAGCGTGTAACAGGATTTCCCCCCAAAGCTCCTTGAATGCTGCCAGGCAGATAACAAAGCCTGGCTGACCCTGAGGATTTCTCCAAGGAAAGGAGTTTATTCTTGGGCACAGACATGAACGGGTAGTTTAATCTCCTGTCGTGGCTCATGTCCAGTTGGGGTGGTTTGGTCCGACACTTCAGCTCACAGAGATGTGGAGAACCAGTTTTGGGTGGAGTTTGTCCCTCCACAGGGAGGGCAGCAGGAAGGACAGACCTTCCCCAGCTGCACTAGCACTCCTCTGAGGCACAGCTACAGGCAACTCAATGCAACTGTAAGTGGGTGCAGCATCAAGAGGAGGAGGTGGGGAGGTTGGGGAAATACAGGACAGGTTGGACAACCACCTGTCTCAGGTGGAAAGCTCAGAGAGGAAGATCCCTCCATTAACAAAATGGCCCACACGGAACTGCAAACTTCACAGGGGACATCTACTGGACCCCAGGAGGTGCAGCAGCACCCTGCCAGCAGCCAGCTTGGCCTCTACCACTCACCACAGCCCCTTGTCCTGCACAAGATCCTGAGCCAGGAGCAGTGAGCAGGACCTGCCCCAGACCTGTGCATGTGGTGGGAGGTGACATTAATAGATTTTACAGGGGTGGATGCAGGAGGCAATCCCTGAAGTGAAGAGCCACTCGCTTTTCTCCCGGTGCTGGTTGGGGTTTCCAAGCAGCTCTTGCTGCTGAGATCCCACATTCCGTGAACAGACACCCCACCTTCCCGCCCCACAGAGCCAAGGCCCCGTCACTTGCCTGCTGCTGTCTGCATGTATCCAGCCAGGGTGCAGAGCCGGCGCTCGCAGGCTCCGCCGGGCAGCAGGACAGCCACGATGGCCAGCAGGGCGCTGAGGGCCAGCAGGGCACAGCCACCCGCACACAGCACGGCGCTCGTCTGCAAGGACACAGGGACTGTCAGCCAGTCACCCCCACCTCTGTCCCCATCACATCTCCCCCCCACAACCCCCCCCCTCTCACGGGTGGCTTCTCCCACCTTCCCCCTTCCACCTCGTGCCGCTTAAATTCGCCGTCGCGTCTGAGCCCACGGTGCGCCCATCAGCTGGTCCCGGGGGTTATCAGTATTTGGGCTATAGTGGTAATAGCAAGTGTGTTACATGCACGAGGGGCTGTGTCACTATTACACACATGTATGTGATGTGTGTTGGTGCCTCTGCTGAGAGTGAAATGTATCTCGTGTCAGTGCCCACCCCAGCAGGCCTGGCGGTGCGGGGGGATTTTGCCACTGATGCTCCATGGTGGGGATCCCACTCTGCTGCACAGGTTCCTTGGCAATACAGCAGGCTGCTCCAACCCCCTGCCCAGCTCACCTCCAGCAGCCTAAAAACTGGGAAAAGCACTGATTAATGGCAAAACACCTCACCCTTGGGTACAGGTGCCCAATTGCTTCATCGTTGCTGTTTCTGCTCCCATTGCAGGTGAAATAATCTGCAAAATGTAAGTTATCCTGCAGGAACCACAGGCAGGCTGAGCAGGGGAAGAGGAACTGGATTTACCCCTGGCTATGGGGGCTCCAAACAGTTAGAAAAACTCCTCCCACTAGTGGTGCTGCCCCACAGGTCTGGCACTGCCCTCATCTACCTGTGTTATTCACTGCTGAGCTGGTTTTTAGCAGCTGGACTGGATGGTGCTGGGTGGCACAGCCACTGCCTGCAAAAGGGGACTCTGGTTCTGGTGAGGGACAGACCAGGGGAGCATGACCACCGTCCTGTCACCCTGGTGTGAGTGCTGTGCAGTGATTAGAAATCAGCATCTTATTTATAGCCTATTTATGCACTGCACAAGCGATGCAAATGCTGTCCCAGCAATAAATTAATTCCTGACATGCAACGCAAAAGGCACAGCAGTGCAAACAGCTACCCAGAGAAATGGAGAGGCTGTTCCAGCAGGGATATCTGCTCCTCTCTGTGCCTTCCAAGTCACTGAGACCTGAACACACAAGTGCTGTTTCAGGGCAGATGATGCCAAGTTGGGACACTGGATCTGTACCCCAGGAGGGATCCACAGGGTTTGGGGTGGGGTGGGATGGGTGACCTCGTCACACAGGGCCCTGTGGGGAGAGCAGCCCCAGCCCTGCTCCCAAGGCAGCAGCGTGGTGAGGAAATCAGGATTCCTAATAAAAAAAAGGATTCCTCTGCCTGGCATCTGCATTTCACCTTCCGCCCAGCAAAACCATCCTCCTTTGCGGGGACCATTAATAATTCAGAGCGATGAATTTTTCAGCAGAAAGGGGGTCTTGTGAAGCAGGCTGGTTCCTCTCTCGTGTGAAGCATATTATTTTTAATGATCTAGGTTTTCCTTAATTGTGGTAGCACAAATCCCCTAAAAACTCACAGCTCCTGCTGAAAACAACTTATGAGCTGCTCAGGCTGCTAATCCCCACGGAGAGGTGTGAAGAGGTTTTTCAGGACAAAGTGACAAGATAAAAGGTACAGACAGGATGGGTGCAGGTGAGTGTTACACTTGTAGAAGTGCTGGGTCTGGTTTGGGACCTGCCACGAGGGTTTGGAAACAAGGCTGTGGAGTCCCAGGGTCACAGCACCCTGATGTGCCCAGTGGTGGCCAAAGAACCATCAAATAAAAAACAGGCATTGGCAAAGGGGACAAAGGTCTAGTTGTGAATAAATGTGAGGAAATTCATGTGGGCAGGAGGTGCAGGTAAATGGTGAGGGTTGGTTTCTGCCATGTGGACCAGCAATGCTGGAACACCAAATGGCCACGGGGCAGCTCTGGGGGGGAAGAAGGGGCAATGCCACTGAGCAGGTTTATGGAGGGCACAAGGGCTGGCAGGGGAACAGCTGCCCCAGAATAGGTGACGAGGGAAAAGGCACAGCACAGGGCAGATGGCAAAGAGACCCTGCTGCACACTGACAGGCTTGGTCTGGTTCCCACGTTATGCTGGGACAGCACAGCCAGAGCTGCCTGAACACAAGGTGTGTGCTGCTGTGACCTGCCAAAACACTGGATATGCTCTTGGAAACCAGAAATTTTGCTTTTGTCATAATCTTTCCAGGGCTTCAGCTGGGAACTATTCCAAGTGCCCCTGCCCTGTCCTGCAGATCAAAGAGCTGCTTCTGGAGGACAATAATAAGGCTTAAGTCTGAAGAAATCCATGGAGCAAAGGTACAAACCAGCAGCAGCTGAAAGCCTCTCCTTCCCACTGAGCAGCCCCTCCCTCTCTCTCTCCCCTGTTTGTGCCTGTTGCATCTCCAGAGGGAAGGAGAGGATGCAGGAAACAGGATGCAAAGGCTGCAACCCAAAAATAGACTGGGGTGGGGGGGAAAACGGGATGCACGGAAGTTGGCTGGGGGGCAGGGAAAAGCCCATCCCTCTCAGCACAGAGCACAGCTGCCAGTGCAAATCCTGCCAGGGAGGAGCAGCACGGGGGGAGCTGCCCATCCCTGGGCACTGCAGACCCTCGAGGGTGCCAGGGAGACCCCCGGGGGGAGCCCGGGGCTGTGAGCAATCCTGTCTCTGCCACTCTGACGTGAAACCGTGTCAGATTTTCTGCTCCCACTCCCAGGGAGATTAATTGTTTATCCCCAAACAAATTAATCGTCCCCTGGTGGGACTGTAAATATGCCTTTATGTAGCGTAATAAATTCCGATTAACAACAATCCCCTGCCCGTTGTTTTAATATGTTACAGGTCTGACATGAGCCGTGGCTGTGCCACTCACTGAGCAATAAATCTGCTGAAGATGCTGTTTCATTCAGCAAAAAAACCAACCAACCAACAAACAAACAAACAAAAAAACCCAACCAAACAACAACAACAAACAAACAAAACAAAACAAAGCAAAACAACAACAACAAAAAACACACATCAAAATTAAGAGGTCATATAATGACTGTCCTGGGAAGGATTCCTTAATATCCCTAATGAAAACTTTTTAAAAATTAACTCATCTTTTGAAACCAGGACCCATGGGCTTTCCAGCCTAAAGTGGAAAGGGTGAAGGGAGAAAAATCTGTCCAGTCCAGTGAGTTAGTGCTGAGAAATGTTGCATGGTGTTTGGCTTGGCAGAGATAAAACAAGCTGGCAAAGCTCCTGCTGTCCCATCCTGTGAACTGGGTCACACATTAGTTTATTAATGCAATTTATTAATTGGAACTTGACCATCCCCAGCAGCTGCCATGCTGGATGGGTCCTGTAGTACCCAGAGCTGTAGGTGAGGGAAGCATTACAGATTCCTTGGGTGTTTCAGCCCTGCTCAGATGCTTAAGCACCTTTGGAAATGGGGGCAGAAAATAAATACCCTAAATAACTAGGAAATAAAGCCACAGGCTAAGTGAGAAAAATAAAGTGAGGGTCACAGCGTGCCTGGCTTTCTAGGGATGTCTGTTGAGGCAGAAAACGTTTGAGAAACCCCAAATGAGCTGGAAGAAAAGGGTAAATTCAATTGTAAGAGAAGAGGGGGGGAAATTAATCTAACCATTTTCGTTTTTACAGGCTGTCCCTTCCCATCAGAGCTCCGTGTGATGATTAAATATTCATTATAGGAATATGTTTTAGGGTTACACTGGGTAGTGCTGTACCTGGAGAGGCAGCAACCAAACGGACACTAAGGTTGTTAAAATACAAATCAGTGGTGGGTGGAGGTGCTGAGAGGTGACCAGGGGGTTGGGTTTTTGCAGCAGTGCTGGCAGAGACCCAGGTGCCTTCTCCTGGGACAGGGGTGCCAGGGATCTTGGTAAAACCAGGGAATATCCACCTGGGCACAGCACAGAGGCTCCTGCCTGGGTGGGAGACGCTGCCTGGGCAGGGTGGGTGGATGGAGCCTCGCAGCTTGTTCATATTTCCCCCACACGAGTCACAGAAACAAACATCCGCCATCTGGTCGGCATTAAAGCGACGGCCAGGAAGAGGATCCCACACGTCCCCGTCTTCTCCTCCCCGGCAATTACCTTCCTTTCAGCGCCATCCCAGAGCTCTCTCCTTCCTATTTGATCTTCCCCCTCCTTCATCCTGGCTCCCATGGACGGTGGGAGTGGGTCCAACCTCCCCAGAGCAGCCTGGTGGTAACGCAGAGCCCCAGGGGTGATGCTGCTGGGGAGGTGGCTGATGTCCCAGTCCCCTGAGATGGGATGTTTTGGGGCTGGAGCACAGGGAGAAGGAGAGGAGCTAACAAGGCTCCAGCCCTCATTTCTTCCTCTTCAAATGCAGGATGTGGTCGATGGGGACCTGCCCACACCACAGCATGCACAGAGGGTTCCTCTTCCCAGCCCAGATTTGGCTGCTTGTGCACAAAGTTCAGCACCACCTGCACCAAGACACAGCTTGGCCAGTTCTGGCCTTCCAGGTAAATTTCCCACTTTCCAGCTAATATCAGGGTATTCATCAAAGTACCAGAGGGGTTAATGCCCAAACTGATTCAAGGGGAGGGGAAAAAAAAATGCATTTTTTTAATTAGAGAGAAAATTAGAGACAGATAATATGTCTGATGAATTACGGCCGTCTCTCTTTCGGTGCCATTGCATCTGGGGATGCTGGAAAGCAGTTCCTAATGGCACTGCTTTATCTAAGGGGATGATGGATAGTGGTGAAAGAGAGAAAAAAGGGAAAAAGTAAGACATTAGCACATCAATGGTGTGCCTGTGACCTCCATCAAGGGATGCGAACCAACTTAATGAAATTTTAATTAGGCAGCAAGCAGTGCTCTGTGGCTGGGTACCAGATCAGCCCTTCTTACCCAAGCTCTGTTATTATCCTTCCTTGGGATAAGCCCTTTCCTGGCGCTGGCAGCAAAGCTGGGCTCATCGCCTTGGCCAGGGAATGCCCCGCAGGTCACAGCACTCTCCCATCTGGCTTTTCCTCACAGAGCCAGTGGAGAGGAACCTGAAGGGAGGAGTGGGACTTGCAGCCTCGAGAGGATGGAGGGAATGTCCCACTGCCAAAGTGTCCCTGCCGTGTCCCTGCCGCCCTGTGCCAGGCTCTGCTCTGGGCCCTGCAAAGGGGAAATGCCACGTTCACCCCAAAATGTCTCTGATGCCCTGGGACAATGCCCTTCCCGAGGTTCAGGATTTGCTCTTTGCCAAGCAGGTGTGTGGGCAGGTGACCTTGTGTGTGAACTGCCCCTCACTGTCATGAGTGGCCACCCCTCAGCTGAGCCCCAGTCCCTGCCCAGCCCCTGCAGCCCAAGCAGCAGCCCCAGTGCTGGCTCCCACCTCTCCCTGCTTTTAAATAAAGCAGCTTCCACCTCCCTTTGAGAGCAGCTGAGAGAATTAACCCTGAGAGCAGCCTGTCTGCATTTTCCACCAACTTGACCTCCCATGGCCCACCCATAAGCTGGTCCTTGTCTCAGCACCCCTTTCAGCCCAGCTTAGTGGTGAGCAGGTCACTGGTCAGTGAGCCCTGATGATGGTTTGTGACTGGAATGTGGGGCCACAGCCCAGGAGTTACAGGTTTCCCCAACACTGGGTGTTCTCTGTCCTGTAAATGTAGGTCAAAAAACTCTGGGTGGTTGATGAAAGGAGATAAAGTCTACTGTGAGGTAAATGTGCATGAAGGGAAAGACGGTGATTCAAGAGTTCCTAACACTTAGTACTTAACAACTCTTGCCAACGCCGTGTAAGAGCAATTAAAAATCAAATGGACTGGCAGAGTGAGCCAGGAAGGATCTGCTCTCTTGGGAAGTCCTTGGGTTGAGGAGATAAAAGGTGATTTCCTGACAATCCTAAATTAACAAGTTGGCTTGATACACGACTCTGGAGGTCGAGCAGACCCTGCCCAAGAGCCAGCACACACAGAGCTCCCTGCTTGGGTCACACTGCAAGCCAAGCACTCCCAAAACGCTCATCCCTGCCTTGTGCCAGAGCCTGTGCTGGAAGAGGAGTGACAGATTTTCTAAATATCTTCCCATCCTCATGAGCAATCTCCTCATTCACTGGGCTCAGGGCTGCTGTGCAACTACTCTGCAAACCCGACCCCAGCCAGCAAACCTCAGGTGACATCGGGGACCCAGAGCTGGACTGACACGGCGAGAAACCGGCACTGCAGGTTTGTGAAACCCTTCAGCATTTCCCAATGAAAGGGTAAGCAGGTTTACTTTACATTTTCACTAAGCTTTGCTGAATCTTTTCAAGTCCTGCTTGAAAAACCAGGAAAGACCCGCTTGAGGAATTCCTGGGGTCGTACAAAGCCTTCCCCCCTGTCCTGAGCAGGTTGTTTTGGGCTCTGCTCCAGCATGGCATCACTGGCTCTATAGGCAAGTGGTCCATGTGGTTTAACCCTGACTATCATGGGCTGATCAGCTTCTTTGTTATTTTAGATTACATGCTTGGCAAAGCCTGGAAATAATTGGAGACTATCTGGAAAAATAAAAATAGAAATTTGAAATGTGGCAGCACGAGCTTCCGAAGTGCAGCACTGAGACAGGAACCCATGAGCCAAATGCTCCCACTGAAGGAGGAGATAAATTAGCTCAGGATGAAGCTCTGCTTTGCATGTACACACAGGCACACAGCGATCTGGCACCAGGAAAAAGAAGAGTACTGAGATGCAGTGAAACAGCTCAGGGCTCGAAAGTTCACCTGTTTCTCCCACCTCTACCACTTGGCCTCCCAAAGCAATCCCATCTCCCCTCTCCAGCCCTCACAGTTCCAAGACTTCCCACAATGGATCCTCCTTTCCATTAATTGTCTGTGTAAGGGCCTCACTCATAAATCGGCTGGGCAATATCACCATCCCTTCTCCTGCCAGACCCTCTCCACTTCCCATCATCTCCTGCATGGTCTCAGCCTGTCCTCAACATCTCCAGCCATCAGGAATACTTTATTATATTCTAACCCATCAAATAACCATCATGATGCTGAGCACGGTGCAAAGCCTCAGCAGCCTGAGCACTGACAGGGTTAAATTAAAGGTACCCCTGATATTAGAGAGCTGCAAAGTAATTATGAAAGGAAGCAGAAAAAAAGCCAGCAACTCTAAGCAGACATGAAGGCCCTCTTAAGAGAAGAAAGGCATGTTAATTAACCTCCAGACATGATTCAAAGCATCATTTGTAGCATGATTAACATAATCCCCCAAGTGCACACACACAAACGGCATTAACGATCATTTGCAGGACTGAACGGCTCCCCCACCCCTCCAACAAATCAGCACGTTTTAGCAGGGAAACGCTGCAAACGTGCACGTTTCAGGAAACAAAAAGAACCACGTTCCCCAGGGAGGGACAACCCAGCTGAGGGCTGTGCCCACCCCGTGTGCTGCAGGTGGGCATCCTCCCCAGCTGTGCCTTCAGCATCCTCCCCAGGTGTGCTCTCAACATCCCTCCAGATGTGCCACCAGCTTCACTCTAAAAGAGCTCTTGACTCTGTGCCACCTTTTTCTCCCTTTCCCAGCCACAGCCACAGCTCACACCCTCCTCACCAGCCTCTGCCACTTCGGCAAACGCTGGGGGCTGTTTTCAGAAGCTCCCAGATTCCTGTCAGTGTTTGGCTCGTGGCTTTTTGGTTTAAAAAAAGGAGCTGCCCACCAGATTGCTCTAAAGATTGGAAAGGAATGCTACAGTTCTGCAAGCAAAGAAAAAAAAAAAAAAAAAAGAGCCACAATCTCCCCATGTCTCCAAAAAGGAGAATCTCCTGCTTGAACTCCTGGACAGAGTTCCCAGCACTCGGCTCCCCCCCCCCCGTCCTGAGCACCGAGGCGTGTGGGCTCGGAGGCTGCTCATGCAAGAAAGCCAAAGCTGTCACCTGCCTCAGCAAAGCTGTCAGGGATGTTTTATTATATTCCACCCCATCAAATAACCATCACAACAGGTATTCCCACCGTCATCATGGCAGAAAGCTGGTAGGGGAGCACTTTCCTCTGAAAGCACTGTTTGTTCTTCATTAATTATCTGGGCGGTATTGATAAAGGTGACATGGACGTGTCACCAAAACCCCCTGTAAACTGCACTCTATACTGTGATATTCATCTTTCCACAGCCCAAGCTTTGCATTATTTTGTATTCTGGATGTCAGTGTTTTCAGAGGCTGAAGCTCGTTCAAATGAGTCACTGCTGAGCTTCGTTATCTTTAAAGTTTGTTATTACTTGGGAGTGCTTATCTGCATCACATTTGCAAAAACATCTGAACAAAGGCCAGCTCGTGGAAACAAGAGCATTTTTGCACCTTTTTATATAAATAGGAAGGAGTTTATACAGCTGGTTCTTGTCTTTGCAATTCACAATATTTGTCTTTAATGCCAATTTGAGGGACCGGGATGGGATTTAAGCAATCACAGGCAGAGCTGCTTTCCTGGGAGAGATAAGAGCGCAGCTCCAGGGCAGGCTGAGCAACCCAGCTGCTGACACCCTTTGTGCCGGGCACAGCCGCGACCTCTCGGGGATGCTGCCCTGTGTTGTGACCCGGAGCAAGCCCAAGCAGCAGCAGTGAAATCACACCCACAACCTCGGGGTAAGAAGCTAAGAATGAAGGGAGAGGAGGAAGAAAGGGCAGGGGCAAGCAGGGGGCGGGATACTGGGACCCAGCTTTGTGTGGTCCCGGTGTGACGGGCAGCTCTTTGTCACCCTGGGACGCCACAGCAACCCCAGGCCCCGTGGGGCAAGTGGGGAGGCCTTGGCCTCCTTCCTCCCAAAATCTGGTAAGGGCATCACCTCGGGGGACCAGGCAGGGGGCAACTACAATCACCCCCGTCCAGGCTCGATTTCTGGATCCACGTGTCCCAGGGGCAGCGGTTTCAGCCACCTCCCTGCTCTGTTCCCTCCTGCTCAGCAAACTCGGACGGCAAGTGACGCTCAGTACCCTACTGGGAAGCACCAAAGCCCCTCCAGCTTCTCCCCCAGCTCCCGGCAGGGCAGGGTGGCCGGGTCAGACCCACGGCCACGCTCGGGCTGCACTGACCCCCACACCAGCACGAGGCTTCCATGCAGCACCCCGAGCACAGCCGGGCATCCCAGAGTGGGATGTGACCCCACAGGGACCGCGGGATACCCAAGGGGTGCTGAGGGGATGCTCCGAGGCAGGACAGGGGGGGATACAGGGGATGGAAGGGATGCTGGAGAGCAGCACAGGAAGATGTAGATGATACTCGAGGGCAGCACGGGGGATGCAGGGGATGCCCAGGATGCTCAGAGCAGGACAGGGATGCTGAAGTGATGACAGGGGGTCCTCAGGAATGTAAGGAGGACCAAGAGATACTGGAGAGCCTGGAGCAGGTCTGGGGGGATGCCAGGAGGTGATGGGGTGACGCTGGGGAGCCCAAAGCAGGCAAGGGAGGATGCAGAGGAGGCGATGGGGAATGCAGGGGAACCTGAACCAGGCAGGGGGGGGATTCTGGGGATGCCAGGAACCTCGAAGCAGACAGGGGGGACACCGGGGAGGTGATGGGTGATGCCGGAGAGCTGAGGGAAAGGCAGGCGGGATGCCGGGGAGGTGACAGAGGATGCCGGGGAAGTGATGGGGGATGCCGGAGAGCTCGAAGCAGGCGGGGGGGTATGCCGAGTCGGTGATGGGAGATGCCGGGGATCCAGGGAAGGGCTGGCAGGATGCCGGGGAGGTGACAGGGGATGCCGGCAAGCCCGGGGGAGGCGACGGTGGGGTGCCGCGGCGGGGAGGCGCTCACCTGCCAGGAACCAGAGGGGATGTCTCCGAAGCCGCCGGGGCCGGCGGAGCCGTGGCAGCCCCGGGGGGGGCCGGCGCAGCGCCAGAGCAGCCCGAAGCCGGCGGCGGCTCGGCCGGGCGGCAGCAGCCAGGCCGGGGAGAGGAAGGCGGCGGCGCAGGCGGCCAGGAGGCCGGCGGAGAGCAGCGCCCAGAAGCAGCCGACGCCGCTGCACATGGTGCGCCGGCGGGGCTGGGAGCCCGCGCCCCGCGCCGCCCCCGCGCCCGCCACCGGCACCGGCACCGACAGCATCGGCGGCGCGGGGCGGCCCGCGGGGCCGGGCGCGGGGCCGGAGCGCTGCCCGCGCCCTGCGCGCTCCCTGCGCGCTCCCTGCGCGTTGCCTGCGCCGCCCGCCCCGCGGGGCGCGGCTGAGCACGGGCGCGGCTGCGACACCCGCGGCGGGCGGGGGGAATCCCGGGGCGGTCACCTGCGCGCACGGGT